GTTCAGAAAAAAAGTATGCTTGACCCCTCCCTCCCCTACCCTCCTGCCAAACCTAACTGTTGATAGGCATTAATTAACAATTATCCTATCATTTCAATGTTTGTAGATAACATCATAAAGACACTGCAAAGCAGATATCAGTTCTGTACTCTATCATAAGGCAATTTGTGGTTGAATTTGGATAAAACCCCTACAATCCTATACCAATTACTCTAACATAATTGTGGTGCAATCTACCTTAAATCATGATAAAATGAGAGTTTTCTTTACACATATTTGACACTTTAACAATCCCAAAATATTCTGAGGATGAAAAATACAAAACAGCCTCCTCTGTGTCCCTGTTATTCTGCTGTAGCAGAATGTCTTGTGATCTGATGATACAACAATTGTTTGTACGATTACTCATACGTCCAGCTCGATGAGCTCGACATTGCTACAGTATAATCTACCACTCCCTGCTATCCTGAGTCAAGTTCTACTGCCACAGAGGATCTCCGATCAATACTCGATTCTCCTGTCATACCATTACTCATGGAGAACCTGTAGGGAAAAAACAAACCAACAAACGCACGTCAAACGCGCGCACACGCACCACTCTACTCGTCCATTGATCATGCTCACTGGTAATGAGTACTACACTAAAGCACATTTCCTCTTCTCCTTGCAAACCTGTATTAGTAAATTGATAGCTCATTATTGATTTCCAGAATTTAATGCAAAACACAAATTACTCCACCAAAGGGCAACAGTGTTGTGTTAACTTGTATGTAATTGTGGGTGTGACATCAGATAAATTATCATTAAATTATCAGTACATACAGGAAGTGTTTTAATGATAAAGTAATGAGACCATATCTTTATATTGATTACCGACCAGTTTCAGCCTGAGAAGAGAGATGCAGGTGTTACACCTCACTATACTGTTAACCAACATATGCTCTTCGTACAAGGAACAATATCAATATTGACAGAAAATCAATACTTTCAGAAAAAGTAATATTATTGACATATGACGCTTTCTACACAGAATATTGATGGCCGATGTCGCTGTCAAGTCTAGCATACTGTGAGCAGACGACATTATCAGGATGTCCACATCTTAACCGGAGTATCAAAATCTGTAAGAAATATCGCACTACATGCATGCAGTGTGATACCTACCTGTTATACAGCAATATCCAAACTGAAGAGCGAAGGCCAGCTTTTCACTATTCAACACCAGAGTAATCAATTCTATACATAATAATCCAGTCACCAACTTGTCACTGTTTTAAATCAGATAAAAATTTCCAAAAAATATTGTCACAGAATAAGATGAAATTATACAACAGAGTATGTATATAAATCCAGCGTATTATATCACACACACCTCAGGCGTGTGGACTGCAGCAAGACAGTACACTGGTCCTCTTCTCCTTCCCAGCCTCTGTACCATGTATACTCAGTCAGCACTGAGTGCCAGAGCTAACTGGGCATGCCCAGCACTGCCAAGCATTACATTATATTCTCTGTGGCAACTAGTGCTAACACAGTGACAGCTATCATGTACAGGGATGTTTTCTATGTGTGTTAGCTATTGTCCAACATTCTACTCTTTAACGGACTACTGGCGATATTGTGTATACTATTTGTGTTAAAACTTTTTTCCGAGGTTTCTAAATACATTTTGAACTAAATTTTTGGAAATTGTCATTGAATTCAATAACTCTACAGAGAAGGTTAAAACATATTTTACACATGATTTTAATATACATATGATTCATTGTGCATTACTGTACATCACAGAAAAGCAAGGAGACTACAGTACGGTAAACTGGATTGTTTTGGTGACTCAGGCTCAAGATAACAAGTAACCATTACTGATTGGTATGACATTTTGAAAGCGAAATATGAAAAATTTAAGTAGCGTGGTTGACAAGTTTGAGCCAATTAACTCTTGAATTGCAATGGTTGTGAGAAGCAGAAATTCCAGTTATTCAATGAGTAACCATATTTCGAAGCATTAACGGTCACATGGAACTGAAGTATGCCATCTTTGATTTAGTAATCTCTCCTCAAAATCAAGCTATGAATGTTTTTTACTTATATACGTGCAGCTATTTTAAATCCTGAAACATAAAGGTCTACTTCTGATTTTTAAACATATTTCTGGATCGCCTTGTTAACACTATATTCACTACCATGAGTATCACCTTTACGATCATCCCTTACAATGTTATGTTGCTGCCTTAATTAGAAAAGGGAGAATAAACTTCATTTACACTCATTATGTCTGAATACATCGGTGAAAATGTCATTTATACTTGCGAAACAACATTGACCTCATGACTGTGCATAGTAATGTATAAAAAAGATCCAGAGAGAAAAGTTCTTATAACACAACCAGTAGAAGGTTTGTGTGTGATGTTTCCATGACTACATGGTCACCTTCATCTTATAACACAACCAGTAGAAGGTTTGTGTGTGATGTTTCCATGACTACATGGTCACCTTCATCTTATAACACAACCAGTAGAAGGTTTGTGTGTGATGTTTCCATGACTACATGGTCACCTTCATCTTATAACACAACCAGTAGAAGATTTGTGTGTGATGTTTCCATGACTACACGGTCACCTTCATCTTATAACACAACCAGTAGAAGGTTTGTGTGTGATGTTTCAATGACTACACGGTCACCTTCATCTTATAACACAACCAGTAGAAGGTTTGTGTGTGATGTTTCAATGACTACACGGTCACTTTCATCAGACAAATGAGCAGTATTCAGTATACTAGCACTGATGTTTGTAGTGTACAAGATGTCATTTGTCTGATGAAAGTGACTGAGTAGTCATCAAAACTTCACACTCAAACCTTCTATTAGTTGTGTTATAAGATGAAGATGGGTGTGTAGTCATTGTAACATCACACTTAAACCTTTAACTGGTTGTGTTATATGAACTTCTATTCTTTTGGTATTACCAACTTGGAGAAAATGTTCCAAAATTTAAAAATCCTGAACTAATCATTAAAATCAAGATCAAAATCCTATTAAAATGGATTAAAACTACTGCATCTACAATGTTGCATGATCTATATCAAACCATGACTACCTTTCTACAGTATCATCTTCATGCAGCCATCATTATAACCTTCGTTGTCCTGACATGATTACCCAATGATGAAGATGTCCGACAACACACAGAATATGGAACACTGTCATTAACCAGATATGATGGCAGTAATACAGCTTTAATGAGAGAAGACTATAGATAATATACCGACATACAACAGAACCTCTGTTTACTGACAATCTCAATGTTTTATACAATCACTCTATACTTTAAAGACTGATCCCAGCAGCTGATGCCAAGCATTAATGATCAGTTGCTTTCAGACGGACCAAACTTTGACCACAGTACATAATTATATGTAGCTGGTAATTTGAGATTCTCAGTATCAGTATAAAGGACTTCTTTTTATGACTTAGTATAAAACATTTATGATTAAAAGAAATATTGGCAATATGAGCTTCACATATATTACTTTTCAGTTTAAGTTAAATTTTTATAAAACTTATGTTAAAGATTCAAAAATCAAAATCAAACTGTGAGACCTTTTCAGAAAACACAAGACAAGCAATATTTCTGATACTGATAAAAATCTTTCTGTTCGTAAGTGAACGTCTTAAAAACTTATGGAGCTTGGAACCAATTAGCCAAGATAGACTGTTACAGCTTTTTATATGACAATGTAATACAAAAATTACACATCCCCAGCACCTGTGTTAAATTAAGTTGATGATTAAGGCTTCATCATTTACATGTTCCCGTTCAACATTTTTTTATCCCTGAATCACTTTCACCCCTGATGTTGATGAATCGTTCCATCTATTACACTCAGGGTTGAACCATTTGATGTGCTAAGGGTTGATAGGTGTATACTGGGCGTGTCAATGCATCACCTCAAAACCATTAAAGAGCAAATTATTGAGAATCTGTGTCAAACACATGAAATCTGGAAGCAATTTTTGTTGAAAAAAGGCATTCTCTAAAAGTAAACCAAATTATCAAAATTTTCTGTTAAACTGGCGTCCAGGAGTGTAAGTGACTATTATACAGAACAGCTTAGTCAGCCAACAGATCCCTTTTCACATCACACCCTTATATGAGGAAACATCTTGAAAGAGTTCATTCAGACATATATTATGTAGATGAAAACTTTCTATGTCTTCCAATCATCCCCTACTCACATCTGAGTTAAAGGGAGCACTTATTGTATCACGGTATAAGCCCAGGGGTCACTATGACCACAAAGTAGGGGTGGGCTTATTACTGGTCAATGATATAACAGTTGTTGCCATTTCTGCTGAAACTCGGTTGATTAGGGTCATTTTGGGATAAATCAGTTAAAAATTCATGTACCAGGCCAAGAATTTAAACGGATGCCCTGTTGGTGTTACAAATAAATGTTATTAAGTATGTAATTCTGGTTGAAAATAAACAGTAGATTTTTACCATATCATAAGCTTAACTACAGCTTTATCATTACAGGGTTAAGGAGACAAAAGCTGCTTTGCCTTGATACAACAGGACAACATGTGGCTAAGGCCTGTGTTCCTACATACCTCTTATGCAACATTGCAGATCAAAATGTGCTATGTTTGTGACAGCTGTCAAAAGCTTATAGTATGTGCCAGGACAGTCAGTAGGCTAAACTCAAGTCGGCATTCTCAACATACATCTACAGGATGCATCTTATATTCTGAAAGATCTACCGCGGCTGTTTTTGTTACAAGTGGAATGATGGCTCCAACACATAACAAAGGCAATATTATGCACCCGTCTATCTAGATGCTCTCATGGAAAAGTAAGTCACGTCTTTGATCAGAGATTTGAAAAGAAATAAAAACAAAAAAATGAAATACCCATGAAGATTTTGATCACATATCCAACATGATATATATGACTAAGTAATGAGAAATCCCTTGATTATAAAAAAAGATAATTACTTACCTAACTTTTGTGTAGATGTTCTGATGTGTGTGTGACATCATAGTACGGCTATACTGTGGTCTACACCAGAGCAGATGCTTTCCATTCAATGTAACACTTGAATATCAAAGGAAACGCCTGCAAACAGATAGAACATGTTGGTAGTCCCAAGATATCCATTCTAATCAGACACTGCTTCCTATACATAGAACAGGACAATAATTTTAGCGTTTCACTACCAAGGAAAAAAAGTCATCTAATGAATTAATTAAAAAACAAAAGAGGGGACAATCATTATAAATTTCATTCCTATTTTACCAAAAAAATAATGGCAGCCAAATTTTCGTTCTCTCATACATGAGGGAAGAAATAAACCCGAAAAGGAAATCTGGTCATATTTATACGGTTACTGAGGAGGGAGGTTTAGCCAGAATTCCGTTCAGGATAAAAATTGGCTCAAACTTGTGAGATTTTCATATAAAGATATATTATTACATAACCAGGCTTATGCTCTTTTCCATATGTAATTTTCAGTCACACGTTATAAGACTAGTTTCTTCCCCACAAGTTCTAACTTGTGTAATTTTCAGTAATATGTTATATGAACAGGTCTCTGTTCTTCCCCACAAATTCTGACTTGTGTGATTTTCAGTAAGATATATGACCAGTCTCTGTTCCTCCACACAAATTCTGACTGGTGTACTTTTCAGTAATAAGTTATATGACCAGTTTCTTCTTCATAACATGTATAGCCATGCTTTCCTATTACAATATTTTAAAATCTGAACTGTACTTAAATATATGTAGATATGTAAAACATGAAAGAGAGGGCTCATGCACTAAAGTAGCTGAAGGTCTCTCATCCACTGACATTTAAAGTTCATCAAAGTGTTGCCAGGAGAGACCCTTCGCTGCCTCCAACAGCTGGTGGAATTAGTTAGGAATGTAAGGGTGATATGGTACTGTGTGAAGGGTATTAGATTCCTTAACTGTTTGGCTCCTCCTAATACACACTGTCACCCCAGACAGCCGACTTGTTCTGTCCTTCAGTATTTACTTTGATGGCAGAACTATACATTCATGTATTGTTATGATAGTAAAATCTCAATAGCTCTCCTGATGAGAATTAATCCAGACTAAACATAGTTTCTTACTGATGTAACTTTTACTATTCAACTCCCCTCCCCCGTCCCCCTCCCCCGTCCCCCCTCCCCGTCCCCCCTTCCCCGTCCCCCCTCCCCTGCCCCTTGTTAGATATTACAAAATGTGCTTACATAAAAAAGGAACTTATATCACAATATTTCCTGTTTTTTTCTCTTTCACTTTAGAAAAATGACCTACTTTTAAGCTGACCTCCATTTAGGTACATAAAAGGCGGCATTAAGATTATTGAAAATGTTTATATACCTACAAAATGATGGTAGGGTTAAGTAAGGTGGCAAGGTCATGTTTTTTGTTTGATGACATGAACAACGAAACAATAAATACTTGACTTTCTGGAAAGTGATCCTTACATGCAGTCACATGGCTGTCACATGACTGTCAGATGCACTTGGACTGAGTGATTCACAATACACATCTATTTATAAATTTGACATACATTTTTTTCCCTCTATAACTGCTAATAGACTTAATTCCCCAATATTATAATAGGGAGCTAACTTTATCACTTCCAACAATTTCTAACTAGGAGTGACATTAAGCCAAAGTTGTATCCACTAGTAGCTGTACATATTGGTATCATCATCCTAGAATGCAAATGTCTCTCCATGAACCCTTGCTGGAGATTAAAATTACTCCACAAAGCTCACCAGAACACTATGACTAATTAGGCACCATGTAAATTTAGTTACTAATTGCCTCTAATTACACAGAAGAGCTCCATGCATTGATACTGGAGAGCTGCGGTGATGTATGGTAGAGACAATCTTTCATGTCAATAACATCACCAGCCATCAATAATTCACACCATGATAGATGTGGATGTATTTACAATTCTACATATGTGTCTTTATTCAAATTTAAGCTAATTTTAAAAATAAGAGTCAAGGACAACGGAAAATCCCAATCTGTAACATTCTAGGAAGTAAACATCGTAACTACAATGGACCTCATCACAATTTGATGTACTCAATAATTACATGATGTTACCGATATACTGTAAATTACTTAAGATTTCGTAAATACTTTATTTCCTTAACATATCAATTCAGACGTATTCGCAATTACATAATTTCGCGAACTGTGATCTAGAAATGACTTTAAATTTGCGAATGATGGGCTGTAACATAGATATATGGACTCCCATATTCGTAACTAAATCAGCATTAACATTTCTTGATGTAATTAAAATCTATTTGATGTAAATAAACATTAATTTGATGTATTCATATACATCCATTTGAAGTTTGAATGACTATACATCAATTTGATGTCCTCAACATTAATTTGATGTATTTCGGAACATTTTCTTAAGGTTGATATCGTCAAAAGAAGAGAAGTTCTTATAACACAATCAGACAAATGACCAGTGTAGACTGTACTAGCAGTGATGTGTCTAGTGTATGAGATGGTATAGAATCGACCAACTTTTTCAGCTGTAGTATAGCCTAAGCACACAAAGGTCAATGATAGTGTGATGAGATGATAAAAAGTTTGTAGTGCAAAAAATACAAGATTGTAACAGACTGTAGTCAATTTTGCTACGCTTTTTTTAACACTTGGTCATAGATGTGTGAGAGTCTGTGGCCTCCATCCTCCTCCTCCCCCTCCTTCCCCTCATCCCTGTTTATTAGTATTGGCCCACTGCAGCGTATCCAGATGGCTTCCTTAACCAGTCACTTGAAATTTCAGGTTGTTTTCCCTGTTGCCTAATTTTAAAATTCCACGTCAATCATATGATTTTTCTGCGTGGAATGATCTGTGCCAATTTATTGATCTGGAAATGAAAATGTTTTCGCTCTGATCAAATGAATTTTTTGCCTTCTTGGGATCTCAAAATTCCACAGACTTTCTACACAAAATTATAGTACAGCCAAAAGTTTCCTTACCAACTTGCACACTATGTACATCAGTGCCAATACGCTCCACATTGGTCATTTGTCTGATAAATGTGAATGTGTAGTCATCGAAATGTCACATTAAAATCTTCTACTGGTTGTGTCATTAGATCTTGTGTTCTATTAATTTCATGGAATCAACATGAATTCGATTTACTGAATATTGATCTCATGAAACCATGATCTGGATCAAATCTAATTTATCATTTGGTGTGTACAGTATAAAATTATAAATGTACTGAAAGATGCTTAGCCTCGATTTGAGTCACGTAAAAATTATTCAGTCCAAACTGTTTATAAAGGTCACTCAAGTGCTTACAACAGCTGAATGTTTCAAACAGAAGTCAATACTGCAAATTTACAAGTGCGAAATACTTGTCTAAAAAACCCCCATAGATTTATCTTCCACTCCTGGTAATTAAGGTTGAACACTGGCTTTATTTACTTAACGTGATCTAGCACTCATTAAAACTGACCAAGACAAAGGATCAGGCCACAATAACGATAATCTACTTTTCAGGCCAATAAAGTCAGCCAATCTAATACACCAGAGAGTCACCTTATAACTCTATATGATATGGGGCAATTCAATTCGCCAGTCTGTTCAAATCCGAGTCATTTTGATCAGTCTCACACAAACAGCTCTGCAATATTCATGTACACATATAAATGAAATTTCCCTGGTCGTGCAACCCTGTAAATATTTCATAAAACATTCCCTCCTTTCATGATAATTATGTTGGTTCGTATGACAACATACAAAGGACCATTAGAGATAAAACCATTTAATTACGAGTTTATTACACAATACCGCATATTTAGGACATCATTGCTTCTCTGGTCAAAATACACAGATCCTGCAACCAAAGTTTGCTATTGATTTCTGTACTGAATGTTGTGATGCCTGCTGGGTAATACCAGCTACAGCCATCTTTGAGTTTAAAATCACCTACGTAGCGAGGTCAGTCGATATTTTCATTTGTCACACAATTGATCTATTCCGGAGTAAACATTAACTAGTGTACATCTGGAGTGACCTCCCTTTGTCAGTATATTTCTCTGTATATTTATATATATATCAGTAGATTCGGTATACTGTTTTGTAGGATTAAGTTATAGATAAATCTATTGACTTGTTCTATATGCTAATAATGGAGATACTACAGCCCTGATTCAGCTTAGGCTTATCAATGGCGAAAAACGGTATCATTTATATGCAAATATATACAGGATGTATTCAATCTGTCTGTGCCACAATACGCTATTAGAAGACATTATAAACCAGCTGGAACACCAATTTAACTCTTTTTTTACATGAATAAGTATCCCACACATTCAATGTAAATGTTTCTGGCTCCACTTTGTCACAGTGAACTTCAGAATAAGGACATGCATGGTTTTTTTCTGTTATAAGTTTCTCTATCTTCCAATTATACTCCTTGAGCTCTCACTTTTTAGATATGTCTACTTGACCAATACTTTAAAAAGAATTTATCAGTAAAATCAAATTATATAGAACACAGAGACATTAATCTGGACCCTTTGGACAACACCTTTACAAGCTTCAAAGATACAGTTGTAATATAAAGTATCAATTTTCTTTTGCATTCGAAGATGTGTTACTACTTTTCCTCAACAGAAGCAGGATCTTCTCTGTTGGGGGCACGTTTTAGTGCCAGGGAATCTATGTATCTATGATATGTGTTATAACCAAACTGTGATGATGAAAGTCACTGTATCTACTGGAGTACACTCTCCAAGGTTAGCCACACTTCAATAAAAGTCAGTCATGCATGGACAATTGGTACTCAACTAGCAGGCTATAGCTAATCAACACTAATTCAGGGCCTACAATTCTACATCATTACAAGGCGTTAAACATCACACTGCTGATACACACCTAGGTGGAAGTCTGCATCACTTTAAACAGCCCTCATTATTACACGAGTGCCTCCATTTGGATTCAAACTCAGGACCTCTGACATACTACACTTTTGCTAAACCATTCAAGATAAGGAGTAAATCTCTCCATCTGAGCAGTATATAGTAGCTAGTATTTACCTAGATCCTCTTCAGGAA